AGTATATATATTCTTGATCAGGGCGACGAGCTGAGTCGATTTGGCCTTGTCCGTCCGTATGTCTGTCCGCTTGTCCTCTAGCTCTAAAGGTGCAGATGATATAAGAAAATAACTAGCTTTTGATAAGGTTTTTCATCGATCTTAAAATATCGGTAATAGTTATCCATTTTTATAGAAAAATAAATTTCAAGTCTCTAGCTTTTATATCTTCTGAGATCGACGCTCTCATTTTATTTTTTAATTCTGTTAGGCACACCTATTAATGTGGCCAACAAAATTTTGAGTATTTTATCAAAAATGCTAAAATTATGTTAAAAATTAATAGTTTTTAAAACTTTTTTTTTTGCTTTTATTATTCTAAGATATGTCTATTTTTGAATACCAGTTTTACATGTCTATATGTGTATTGTGTGTTTGTATGCATGCAAATAGAATAAACAATGGTGTCTCTGAGTCAATTAGAAGTTATTGTTCCCGCTTTTAATCTATAATGCCTATCGATAAACTTCCTTTACACTCTTACTTTTTCAGATATTACGAAACTGGTAGCTTTAAGGCTGGCGTCATAGGCGGCTCGAAGCCAAAGGTCGCGACGCCACCAGTCGTTGACGCTATCGCCAACTACAAGCGGGAGAACCCGACTATGTTCGCTTGGGAGATACGAGATCGGCTACTGGCAGAAGGCATATGCTCACAAGATAATGTGCCCAGCGTATCGTCCATAAATCGGTAAGATAATATTGACTCTTAATATTGAAGCTTCATGTTTGTAGCTCTTAAACTAAGAAACTTCGGCGAGCACAATGACTGCTTGTATCACAGTTGGAGAGCGTAGATACAAGAACTAAAAGGGGATCCCTTTTTGATTTCCTTGACCATGATTGCATGTTTTTTGCATGATTTTGCATGTTTGATTTCAGTTTCGAATCGTGCGCATATCGTATATCGTATAACCCAGAAAAGTTGTTTGTTTGCCAGCTTTGATCTGGGAGAGTGTCACAATGCTTGCTGTCATGCAACTTAGTTCCGAATCCGTTTCCTTATCCGCATCCGTGTGCCAAATTCACGATGATGGGTGCGTCTTTGGCCCTAAAAACACAGAGCAGGAGAGATGGCTAATAAAAGTATCTAAGTAGTTTTCAGCGTTCATAATTGTGGCACAATGCTTGACACACGACCACCACAAAAGCTAGCTTCCTTTTCGGATTCCGGTGCGGCATTCCTTGCCATCGCAGGCAGAGCCGCAGCGCAGCATTGCCAGCGTCCTAGCGGATTGTAATGTACTCACTTCCTCTTTGACTATAATTCATTTTATTTGGCTAAGGATGCCAGGAGGCAGCTGCTCAAGGCTTGAATTGCCGTCGACGTCGCCGTTGGCGCTACGAAAAGCCATAAATTAGCTGTGCACAGTGCACAATAACTGTAATTCCGAGCGACGTGCGACGGATGACGGTCGGCAGATCCCGACGGCGTTTGTTGTCAAGTGAGAGGTGACTAAGGTCAACGCGCACTTGTTCGGCAGACCCACACCCGCAGCCGCACCCACAGCATCCACTCCATCCCTTCTATCACTATAGCTTATCCCACCACAAGCTTACACACCTCACTCCACTCAGCCTTCTACCCGCCACAAAGTCATCTAAAACACATTGCTGAATATTTATTGGGGCGCTGCAACCACACGCGGCACGTGCAGCCATTCAGAATCAATTCGTTACGACTAGGATGAGGAGTATGCAAAGCGCCAGGATGCGATGAGTGGTCGGGATGAATCGCAGAGGTTACCATGTGGCTGAGGGTAATTCCATAGGATAATCAACATTAACTTGCCATAATACGACAATGTGTGATTCGATGTCACCCGAGCGATGATTGAGACGTAGATTCAATCATATACAGACGCACGTTCACGGCAGTGCGAGAGACCCTCTTCTCTCTCAGAAAGTGTCAGGCGCAATTCCAGTCCAGTTTCTAGTTTTTTGTTGACTCTTTTTTTTGCGTCCCGAGAGAATAGCACTTATAAAGTGACTTTCGCAGCACTCAACGTAAGCCAATTGCCTGGTCCTCTCCCCGGCGTCAAATAAAGCCAAGTAAACAAATCGAAAATGTGTAGGCAATGCACAATACCGCGCAGTCCAAACATATGTCCCAATTGTGTGCACTGCCCGACTAGTAATTCCAACCTTAGTATCCATGTTCTCTCTCTCTCACACACACACTGTTTTTCTTAATTCGGCGAGATTGTCCTTTTGGAAATATATAACTTGATTTGATTTCGCCTGAGTTACCCTCTCAATTTGCAACCCTCTCAACGCAGGAGGAGGGGAGGTGGGGAAGAGCGGAGAGGGATTTCTGCGTTAAACTTGTATAAGTGCAATAGAACAAGTGCTCAAAGCGGGTCTCTCTTCAGGTCCCTGGAATAGACCCCTGACTAAAATTGTCCCGCAATTACATCTTGTTTAGAGCTCTGAGGTGGCTAATATTACCGTTTACATATTCTCACCTAACCGGAGTCGCGACCATAAATGTAAAGCTTGGGCTCATTCAAGAATAATGTTCCGCACTAAGCAGTCCCCAGGTGCCAACAGATGCCGCATCATGACACAAATGGGTGGCGAAGTTGAAGGTCAAGTAAAATTTAAGTGGATGCGCGTCCTTCTTCGCAAGGCGTGCAGATTTTCTGCACTAATAGAACTTCTTTTTATACCCTGAACCCATTGAAAATGGGAAATCAGGGTATAATGGTT